GGTGCTATGTCTCCCTACGTTCACCAGTGAAAGGCCGAGACTCTCCGCCCACCCTTCTGTCACGCGACCCCTGCTGTTTGTACGGGGGGACCCCCACCTCGTAGAGTGGGCGTTGAAATCCCCCGCAACAAGGGTCGGGCGAAGAGGGCGCCGCCTCACGACTGCGGCGAGTATCTGGAATTCATCCTCGAACTCCTCCAAGATTCGCCGCGGCCGGAGGTAGCAGGCCAGCACATCAATGGCCTCCCATTCCGCCAGGATGTAGAAGCTCCCGCGTTCAACGCGGGAGGGCGGTGGGGAGCCAGGCGTGGGACGCCAGACGACGACCGTGGACCCGCTCCCGTCCCCCAGTCACCTCTCGGTGTCAGGGACACTGACCGCTAATCCTGAACCACTCTCGTCCATCGTCCAGAGGAGCATGTCCTGCGCTGAACGAGAGTGGTTCAGGTTCGCCTGGATGAGATGCGTTACTGTGAATTCAAGGCCCCGCAGCCTCCTCCTGGCATACCTCCATTAGCTCGCCCGTGTCTTCGGGCGGGTCAGTAGTGGTGTCCGTTGCTCCCGCTTGCCGGGTTGGGGGTTGTGTCCCTTCCCAGCAGCGCTCGGGCCCACCACTTTCTTCCTCTGTGGAAGGGGCACCTTGGCGGACGGAGCCGCTGCTCTCGCAATCGGGGGGCCGCTGAATTTGTGCCCTTCACCCTTCTTCCTTTTAGCGGTACAGCCGGCTTACCCGCGGCCGCGCATGCCGGGCAATTGGCAGAGGCTTTGCACTCTCGTGTCGTGTTCCCCTGCCATCCGCATTGATAACAGCATCCGGTACGGTCGATTGTACTGTTATATGTGGCCCTTACATGGCCCACCTCCAAGCACTTAAAGCATTGGAGGTGGCGCACGTTTAAAAGAGCTACCCTCGCGGATACCCATCCAACTTTAATCCTCCCGGCCTCGCAGATCTTCTTGGCCGCTACCACCGGGCATTGGGCCCAAACCGTACCGAGCCTACGGGGGGCCATGGTCACCTGTCCCACCTATACGCTTTCCGGCTGGTATTGTCCGGCCCGGGCAATGGCCTCCGCGACATCCGTCGGCGTAACCGATTTGTCGAGGTTTTTTTACCTTTACCATTACCCGACAGTCCGCCTTCTTGACCGGCCTCGAGATTTTAATATCTTAGCCCAATTAACACCTCCGACATTTTCTTTGCCAGTTGATCGGCCTTATTTTGTCCCTGGACCTCGAGAATGAGGGCGCCGGTAATAGCCCTCCTCGCCTACAGCCCATCGATCCCGAGGCCCGCAAGGTCGATCTCCTTCCGGACCGCCGACATTGCGTTAGCCAACGAGCCAGTCGGGGCAGTATCATTATGGCTACTGTTTTGGGCGGTCGTATTTTCCGGGGTTTCCCTCCGGATGCAACCACTCGTCCCGTGGTGGGTTTTCCCTCCCCGCGAGGGGTACCTCTCTTTTTGGAGGAAGGTGGCTTTTTGGCACCCTCGCCACCAGTAGGGGAGCCCTTCCGGCCTTCTTCCTTCTCTTCTTTTTCTTCCCCCGGGCTTTCTTCCCCTTCACTCGGGTCCATTTCTCTCCGGGTCTGCCGGACTCAGAAGTGCGGGACGGGGGAACCCCGCCACCCCGACCCGCTGGCGCCACACCGCCGGCCCCCCCAGCAACGCGGTCAACCCACGTCCGCGGCGGCGATGCGCCTCGCCGCGTCTCGTCAGGAGGCGTCGGAAGGATTCCCAGCTCGCCAAGGGCGCGCTTCAGGGTCCTCGTGACTATTTCTTGTACCGATTCCTCGGTAATCGCCGTTCCCCTCGGCGCGGTCCACTGCTCTTCTTTCCTCCTTTGTTTCCCAGATGGCCCCTCGACGCCCACCACGGGAGATTGGACAGTTGCCTCCCTCCCGCCCAGGCAGAGGCCTGACAAATGGAACAAGCTTTAATTACCGTTTAAGCCGAGTACGAAGATTAATCGAAAATACCTTTGGTTTACTCGTCAGATAGTGGCGAGTATTCAGAAAATCAATTATCGCTAGTCCTGAAATTGCTGTGGAAATACACTGCGCAAAAAAATTAAAGGATCACTTAGTCCACCCCCAAAAATAGGTAAAAATTCAGAAGAATGTAACTTCGTAAAAAATAATCATAACGAAATTTTTAGAAAAGCATTTTAAAGCATGAAATCTCTACTTTCGAAATCGGTAATTGATATTTCGATTTGATTGATTTTTTACGTAGCTATACGAACAGAAATGGGTATCCGTCAAATCTGAAAATTTTGTACAAATTTTACAAAAGTCTATGGCATGAACTAAAAATCGCACACAAATACGGTTTTAAACAGTCGAAAGAGTGAATCTTTACCATCAATTTGCTTTTTTATTGAGCGTTGTACGATTTTTTTTCGACGAGTTATTCGACATTGAAGCAAAATGACCCTTTTTATTGAATGTCGAATAACTCGTCGAAAAAAATCGTACAACGTTCAATAAAGTTCAATAAAAAAGGAAATTGAAGGTAAAGAAAAAGCAAATTAAAGGTAAAGATTCACTCTTTCGAATGTTTAAAACCGCATTTGTGTGCGATTTTTAGTTTATGCCATAAACTTTTGTAAAATTTGTACAAAATTTTCAGATTTGACGGATATCCACTTCTGTTTGTATAACTCCGTAAAAATCAGTCATATCGAAATATCGATTACCGATTTCGAAAGTAAAGATTTCAAGCTTTAAAATGCTTTTTTAAAAATCTCATTACGACCATTTTTCACGAAGTTCCTCTATCTTGAAGTTTGCCTACATCTGAACAGACGAAAATCATTTACGGAATTATCCACAATTAGAAAATTTGGGACAATTAATGGAAGCGCTCCGTCAAATTTGGCGTATCCCGCAGTTCGCAATACGGAGATGTATTAATATGAGACAACGTTTGCAGGACGTTATTGAAAATAGAGGTGGCAATACTAGGTTTTAGTCACGTCTTAACATGTACAAGTCCACCAGTTTTTGGCTAATGAAAATGCATATGTACACACGCACGCACGCACGCACGCACACGAGGTGTAAAGTCCGACCGCGTAACCTCCCCGTAGTACACCTCGGGTAATGCTAATACCGGCGGCAACAATACAAATTTTTAGAGAAAGACCTGAAAATTCATTATTCATTTCAAATCGTTACACTTCAGTGAAAAAAATTGTAGCGTAATGCTTAAGAAATCATTTTAAGTGGGTAATGTTAAGCTCTACGGTACACTTAAGAAAACATGCAGAAAAAAATTTGTTTTACCCGTGCACACAAATTTATTCTTCAATTTTATAAGGTTTAATTTAAATTAGCGCCATTTGTAATGAAATTTTTGCAGAGAAATATGATTCGAATCATTCGACAGTTATGTCTTAAGCTTTAAAACGCATTATCAAACATTGTCCCGCGATCATTTTTCACGGAGATTCATGAATTTTAATTTTGGTTCTTTTTAATACCGATTTTAAATGATTCTTTAATCGTCTGTTCAGATGTAGGCAAACTTCAAGATAGAGGAACTTCGTGAAAAATGGTCGTAATGAGATTTTTAAAAAAGCATTTTAAAGCTTGAAATCTTTACTTTCGAAATCGGTAATCGATATTTCGATATGACTGATTTTTACGGAATTATACAAACAGAAGTGGATATCCGTCAAATCTGAAAATTTTGTACAAATTTTACAAAAGTATGGCATGAACTAAAAATCGTACACAAATGCGGTTTTAAACATTCGAAAGAGTGAATCTTTACCTTCAATTTGCTTTTTTATTGAACGTTGTACGATTTTTTTCGACGAGTTATTCGACATTCAATAAAAAGGGTCATTTTGCTTCAATGTCGAATAACTCGTCGAAAAAAAATCGTACAACGCTCAATAAAAAAGCAAATTGATGGTAAAGATTCACTCTTTCGACTGTTTAAAACCGTATTTGTGTGCGATTTTTAGTTCATGCCATACTTTTGTAAAATTTGTACAAAATTTTCAGATTTGACGGATACCCATTTCTGTTCGTATAGCTACGTAAAAAATCAATCAAATCGAAATATCAATTACCGATTTCGAAAGTAGAGATTTCATGCTTTAAAATGCTTTTTTAAAAATTTCGTTATGATTATTTTTTACGAAGTTACACTCTTCTGAATTTTTACCTATTTTTGGGGATGGACTAAGTGATTCTTTAATTTTTTTGCGTAGTGTAGTTAAGGCAACCGTATGCTTGCATAATTGGCTTCGGAAAAATAACATTAATGTTATCGAATACGTACCTATCGGTATGGTCGACTCCGACAATCCAAACACTCCAAGTGGATTTAATGCAGGATCTTGAAGAAGTATTGGAAGATGGTTGTGCTTTCAAAGATCTTGGAAACTGTAACAGTAATATGAGTGCCCGAGAATGTGTCAATATTCGCAATGAATTTTGTTGCTATTTTAATAATGAAGAAGCAGTGCCATGACAGTACAATCGTGGAAGTTAAAAGTTCTAATAAAATATTTCATGTTTAAATTAGAATATTTCGATATAGTTGTAATTTTTTTATTGAAAAAAAATTTATTATATATAATAATAATTATATTGTCAATACCTAAATAAAATATTAAATAACACAAACAATACGCTCAAATACACACATATCTTATACTTATATAATAACTGCACTTATCTTATAACTTATCTCTATTTTATAACTTATCTATTATCTATTTATAACTTTATGTATTATCTATTAACTTATCTATTCTTTTTTTTGCCTCATTTATTACTTTAAAAGTATCGAATATTACTTCGTCCAATAATTCCAGGTTCATATCACGAAGTAGGAGAGTTATCAAATGTCCCATTGACGCAGGTTTATCGAAATTGGTGGAATATTTATTGAAAGACGATTAGAAAATTTATTCCATTTGCTCAATATTAAAAGACATTGGACCCTCTAAAGAATTGGCAATCCGATCCAGGGAATTGTCTTTAGACATGCGACGTTTACTGCTCCCTGTAAAAAATATTCATATCCTTTTTTTTTTTTTTTTGGTGACGCAGTGGGAATGCATTACGCATACCCGGACCCCCCGGGGGACGGGAACCGGGTTATATGGGACTCGTCCCCAACCTAACCTAACCGGAAGGGGGAATACCCACTAAAACCACTGCGGGTGTCCTTGCATTGGTCGTTGTTCAGGGGCTCCCAGGAACGCGTGCAGCATACTTCTGGGAGCCCCCCTGGCCCGCCGGCTGGCTGCCGACTCGCACCCGCTTGGGACTATGTTAGTCCCAAGCGGCGCGTGTGCGCGTCATCTCGTGATATGGATGCGGGAGGGGTCACCACCCCCCGCACCCCACCTCCCCGGTGGCTTTGGGGAGGCTGGATTGGGAACTTGGCCCCCGCC